GCTGGCCGCTCACGCTGGCTGCTGGCTACACACGGTAGCCCATGGCAACCCACCGCCACAGGGAGTGCAGCCCACGCCGTCGCCGGCGACTCACGGCAGCCCAGCTCCAGGTTGAGCTGCCGCTCAGCATCCTAGCTGTGGAGGGCAGTGTCACTGGCCCTCCTATGTGGGATCCGAACCGGGGCCCTCCGGCATCCCAAGCGAGCTCTTAACCATCGCGCCACTCGGCCGGCCCAACGTCCGCCTGTTTCTGAGTTGACCCCCTCTGGGCTCTGTATGTATAAGTTGATATGCAGGGGACATTTTGGTTTTGAGACTGAACGTGAAGAGGGGTTGGTGCTGTGGTCCTGGAGAGGTAGGCAAAGGATCCTGGGAGAGTGGATGAGGCGACATGGCGAATGGGGCACTCTACCTGGCCTGACAGTCTGCTTTAAGGATCCTAAGGAGACATTTGGGAGAGTCAGCCAGCAGAACTGCGTTAGGGCCCAGATGCTAATGTGCCACACACAGTGGGTGAGACAGCCATCGCTTTCCACTGTCACCACAGCCACACTGCTGCCTCTGGCTGAAGACCTTCATGTCCAGCCCAGAAACCTTCTGACGGAGGCCGGCTGGTTCAGGCTTAGGCACCTTGGCCTGTGGGCTGCAGAAGGAGGTGTTCTTGCACACACGTGAGATACCCGCCCACCTGGGGGTTTCCTAAAATAGGTGTGGAGACAGTGAGGCTGGGGCTGAGATCCTCCATACCAAATTAATGCAACAAATATTTACTGAGTTGTCTCTAAGTGCCAGGTACTGTTCTAGATGCATGAGATACAGAAATGAACAAAACAAAGATCTCTGACCTTGTGGAACCTACATCCTAGTGGTGAAAGACAGACGATAAATAATAGACACAATAAAGCTGTAAATGATGTAGAATGATGGGAGGTGATAAAATGCTATGGAAAAACATTCGAGCACCTAAGGGGGATAGGGAATGGTAAAAGGGTGAAGGCAGGGGAGTGTGCTGCGTAGTAAGAGTAGTGAGAGTGGGGCACTCTGAAAAAGCTGATGTTTAAGCAAAGACTTGGAGGTGAAGGAATTAGCCATGCGGAGTCGAGTCGAGTTGGGGGAAGAGAATTCCCAGCAGCTGGAACTGCTATATTCCAGGCCCTGAGGCAGAAGATGGCCTGAGGAGTCTGAGGAACAGAGAAGAGGCCAGTTCAGCTGCAGCAGCTGTGAGAGGGTGAGGGTGGAGGTCACAGAGGTATCAGGTCACTAGATCCTATAGCCTAGTAGGCATTGTAGGGTCCTTGACTTTATACCTGAGTGAACTGGGGTTGCCATTAAGGTGTTTTAAACAGAGGAATAACATGATCTGATGCACATTTCAAAAATGATCACTCTCCTGGGCTGGCTGAGTGGCTTAATTGGTTAAGAGTTGACCAGGAAGCGCGAGCTCTGAGCAGCAGGACCCCGGTTTGGTTCCCACATGGGCCAGTGACGCTGCGTCCTCTACAGCTAAGATGGTGAACAACAGCTCGACCTGGAGCCGGGCTGCCGTGAGTGGCCGGCGTCAGCATAGGCAGCAGCCCCTGATGAAGTGGGCTGCTGGGAGCCGCTATGAGTGGCCGGCAGCCAGCGTGAGTGGCCAGTGGCCTGCAGCCGGCGAGAACTGCTGTGAGCTGCCATGAGCGGCCATTCAATGGCCGGTAACCGACTGCCTCAGCCTGGAAGAGTGCAATGATCATCATTCCAACATGGGCCAGTGAAGCAGTGTCCTCCACAACTAGACTGAAGAACAAAAGGACAGCAACTTGTCTGTTCCCCTTCCCCAATTCCCCAGCACTGTTCCCATCCCCCCAATTCCCCAATTAAAAAAAAAATCACTCTCCTGGTTTTCTTTTGGCCTGACTGGTTCCTTCTTAATTCTCATTTGCTGGCTCCTCCCTATCTCTTTGACCTTAGAAAGCTGTGGTACCACAGATTTGGACATCTTCTTTATCTGTACTTACTCCATCGGGATCTCATCCATTCTTAAGGTTTAAATATCACCCGTCTAATGATGACTCTATTAGACCCCTCCATTGAATTCCAGACTCATAGATCCAACAGCCTATTTAGTATCTCCATTTAGATGTCTAACAGACATCTCAAACTGAATATCCCAACACTGGCTTCCTGGCTTTCGCCACCCCCATGACCTTCTCCACCTCCGTTGATCTTCCCCATCTCAGTTAAAAGCAACTTCATCCAGCCAGTTATGGAGTCATTCTCTCTTCCTCTCATGCTCCATGTGCAATCTATAAGCAAATCCTATGGTTTGAAACTTGAAAATACGTCTAGAATCCAACCTGTTCACACACCACCAACCACTACTCCTCCTCTGGCCTAAACTACCATCACTTTTCACTTGTGTTATTGCTAGAGCCTCTTAATGAGGTCCCTGCTTAGGCCTTTCCTCGTTACAATCTGTTTTTTACATACGAGAGGGTTCCTACTGAAACTAAAACCTAAGTCAGATCATGACACTTCTCTATTGAGAACCTTCCAAAGGCTTTCCATCTCTCTTGGCGTAACAGACAAAAAGGCTTTACAGCTGCCTACAAGGCCCTCCACCGACTGACTGCCCATCTCTCTAACCTTTTCTATCCAAGTGCCTTGAAAAGAGGCTGAAGAACAGGCACTCAATACACAGCTGTCGAAGGGATGAAGTGTATTTAAGTGTGCCATGATTTACTCAATATTTTGCACGTGCGGTTCAAAACGAACAAAATAACAGAGCAAACAAAATAAATTTTTTTTTTTGAAATAGACTTTCTCTGGCTTTTCTTTGAAATGAAGTTTGTTACCTGGATTCAATGTCAGACAAAGAGATATCATTCCAACTTCTTTCTAAATCCATATCTTGTCCAAGTTCATTGAACTTTTTATGGATTTTCTGTTGTAAGAATTCTTTAAGCTCTGCCAGACACTGTGTGAACTGTGGAAGGGAATATAGAGCTATTTTTGATTATTCATTTATTGATTCATCAAATATTTACTAAGTATACGCTGAAAGCCACTTTATTGCTGGGGACATAAAGATGAGTAAGCTATTAAAGATGTGTTAATGAATAAATTACATGAGCTGTAGGAACAAACAGAACACCAATGAACACTGCTCTATCCACTTTTCCCTGGCTATAGCCAATAATAAGCTTCTTAGGCAATGCAAAGGTCTGATTTATTTGATTTTCTTTAGTAGTAAGGAAGGAGAAGTTAGAATGGGGTTGGTCGGGTTTTGGCCTACGGCAAATATGATTTAACAGGCCACGTTGTGGTCAAATTCTGCTTTAAATATTTCTCATTAAACAGTTAAATCCAGAGTGGTGCAAAACACGTGTTCCCGGGGCTGACATTTCAGGGCAGGTTGGAGAGATGAATTAGAGACCACGAGTACCGACTCCCTTTTTAAGAAGTTGAGGATGGAGGGAAATGGAAATAGCCTGTGGGAGAAACAAGGGCAAAGGGAACCTCTGTGTGTGATGTAGGACAGAAGGGGCTTGAGGACATCTGCAGGCAAGGGGGGAAGGCAGGAAGAGGGACAAACAGGACAGGAGAAGGAGAGGAGGTTATCGCCAAGGCAAGGCCTCAGGGAGGCCACAGGCAGGGTTAGGTTTGGAGAAGAGAAAGGACACCTGGTTTCCTTTTCTTAAGTTTTATTGGGGAACAGCCATGGTCATTGGTTACACATTGCTTTCACACTACAGTGGCATAGTTGACTCTTTTAGGGAGGGCGCAGCTCACAGTGGCCCATGCGGGGATTGAACCGGCAACCTTGGTGTTATCGGCACCACGCTCTAGCCAACTGAGCTAACCGGTCACCCCAAGGACACCTGATTTTCTGAAACAGGAGAAAGGGAAGTAAGAATTGGCTGCCATGGGAAAGCCCAGAAACGAGGGAGACGTGCGCCGAGGAAAAGCTGGCATGGCAGTCTCTGTCTTCTTGGTGGATTAAGAGGCTTTACTCTTTGCTGAGAGTGTGCAAGCTGGGGGCTTTCTTCTTTTCTGTGATTATAAAAACTTCAGAAAAATATTAAGAGGAAAATAAAGGTGGCCTGTAATCCCACTGAGCTGACTTTGGACCCATGCGAAACTGTCACGGTCGCATCACCACATTTCTCGAAACGCTCTTTTTACCTTGGTTTGGTCAGGATCACAGAAATCCAGGAGGGTGTCACAGACATGATAGCCTAGGGACTTTAGGTCCTCAGTGGTAAAGTGAGTGTCTCTTTTACTGCCTGGAAAAAAAACCCATGAACATGTCTTATTAAATCTTAACAAGCAAATGCAAATCTACTTTATGAATATCTCATGAAAAACACCACCTCTGATGCTAGAATATTATGCTTCTGGACAGGGTCTTGCTCCAAGTTTTAGTTTGGCTCAGAACCAGCATTGACATTGAAAAAGTTTATATACAATCTTTTCATTATGGGGTTATAATTACAACCATCAAGTTTTACTTGGTGGTAGGTGCTATGCCAAGTGCTCTACACGCACTATCTCATCAAGTAGTACCTATAATGCAGGTACCATTCTTATAGACAGTGAAAGAAAAATGAGGTTCAATGAGTTAAGTAACTTACCCAGGATCACACAACTCGTAAATGGAGCTGCCATTCAAACCCAGGACCTGATTCCAGGTCCTCAGTAACCGCTATGCTGTACTGATGCCCCATCAAGTATATTTCACACTCATATTTTGGGTTCTCAAATTCAGCTTAAGCACAGGCAAGAAAATCCTCTACATCAATTGTGCCCCCCACATTTGAAGGGGTTTCGTCTCCCCAGTGCTTTGGTTGGCTTGCCCTTGTCGTGCTGGCCTATGATACACAAGAGCGCGCTTACCCAGGGTGGACCCGCCAAAGGTAGACTCCATGGTGTAGCTGTTTAGGATTCCCATCCGCCACATCACAACGCGTCCTGTTCCTTCTTTGCACTTCTGGACCTTAAAATTACAACTAGGAAAAGAGAACTAAAGAGAAACCCAAATCCTCTGTGAATTGTACACTGGCAACTGTACGACTGTCTAAGACTCATTAATGTAACGCAAGAATGGTTCCCTTGGGGTCTACATATTATTTCTGAAACCATGTTCCACAAAACATTAATTCTAAGGGATGTTAATAGGTATTACCTTGGGCTGGCTGAATGGCTCAGTTGGTTAAGAGTTAGCTTAAGAGCACAAGCTCTGAGCAACAGGATCGCTGGTTTGATTCCCATATGGGCCAGTGAGCTGTGCCCAAGGTGAGCTGCCGCTGAGCTGCCAACAGGTGGCAGGATGGCTCAGCTGGTGAGAGCATGTGCTCCTAAAAACAAGGTTGCTGGTTCGACTCCCACATGGGATGCTGGGCTACGCCCACCCACAACTAAGATTGAACACGGCACCTTGAGCTGAGCGGCCGCGAGCTGCCAAAGGGCGGCCGGATGGCGACTGGACTTGGAGCTGAGCTAGCTGCGTCCTCCACAACTAAGACTGAAGGACAGCAACTTGTCTGTTCCCCTTCCCCAATTCCCCAACACTGTACCCCTCCCCCAATTCCCCAATAAAATATTAAAAAAAAAAAGGTATTACGGAGGAAAGTAAGAGTTCTGTGGTCACGTTAGTCATGGAGATGACGGGTTAACAAAATTAAACAGATTCCTCTGCAGGACCTCTCAGAGTATTTGATATGTTGCTGTGGGCTGTGATCCTCCCACAGGGCGGGGCATAGATTCTGGTTTTCATTGCCTGTGTACCCTTCCGCCCTTTCCCCACCTTCCCGGGGACTAGGACTGCACTTAGTATCATGTTTTCAAGGTTCATCCACAGTCCTGGCATTATCAGTAGTTAATTCTTTTTTATTGCCAAACAACATTCCATTGTGTGGATATACATTTTATTTATCTGTCCATCAGTTGATGGACACTGTAATTCTTAAAGCCACAACTTTCTAAATTCTTGGATAATGAAAAGAGATACAAAGTGGCAAATCAAACACTAAGAGAGGAAGCAGTGAGTTCCCTTCTCCCTTAATCAATGGACAGAAAATTATCTTACGTGCTCACCTTATCTGGTGCATTTTTGCTTAACATTAAAGGAAAGACTCGCTCATGAAGCCAGTACTTGGGATCGTTGTTATTACAGCCATACAGGAAGATATTATTCTTACGGCTGTGGCCATGGAAATCACAGTACAAGAGAACCTCTCTTTCTTCAAGGAGTCTATTGGGCGGGGAGGGGCAAACAAAAGACTCAGTGGACATCCAAATGCATGGGAATAATCAATATATCTTTTGGAGTCTCTTCCTTAAGTATGTCTGTTGATACCTTCCCTCGTAAGAAAATTTCAACCATCAGTGGCCTTCAAAGGACCCTGTCCCTATCCTCAGCCACTGCTGTAAACATGTCACCAGCACTCCTTGGCCCTGCCAGTCAGAGGGACTTGAGATGGAAAAGTCCTGATGTGGAAATGAATGGTGGGCAGGCCTTGCACACGTTGACAAGGAAGTAGAGAAAACCCACCCTGGTGCAGATCAGTGGGAAAAAGGCTTGGAGAGGTAGAGAGGCTGTGATTACAGGGATGAAAAAGAACCAAAGAAAGCCTGGCTCCTGACTTTCCAGGGCTAGTTTCTGTAAGGCTCAGTTCTTTTTGGTCTCCTGACCACCCAGGACTCCTATTCAATCTTCCAAACAAGGTCAATTTCCCCACAGTAATGTTGATTGGAAAAAGAGGATGGTAATAATAATGCCACATATTTACAAGGTGCTGGGTGCTATGCTAAATGCATTACATGGGTTGTCTCATGTCAGCCTCACAGTAACCGCCCAAGGCAGGTATTATTATGCCCTCTATACAGATGAGAAATGTGAAGTGCAGACCGTTATCATTTCCAAGGTCACAGAACCAGCCAGTAATTAAACCAGGTCTCAAATCCAGGCCTGTCTGACTCCCAAACATACGCTCTTCGTCCTTTTACTACCAGTCCAATACTACTCCCACCCTTCCACACAGATATGGTGGAATGTGTGTGCACTCACATATTCTTATATGCTGGAGTTTCGTTTCCAGCGACATGGAAGCTGCTTTAGGCTGGGTGCTATTACATCGTAGCTTTCAACTGCTTTTACTCAGGCTGGAGAGCGCTAACCGATTTATTATTCTTTCTTCATGAGAGGCAATATAAGATGGTAATAAGGAACTCAGACTCTGAAACCAGGGAGCCTGTGCTCAAATACCTATTCACGAGTTACTAGACTGGATGACTGGGCAAGTTACTTAACCTTTCTGGGCCTTAATTTCCTCATCATATACAAAATGGGGATATTGATTGTGCCTCCCCCATCGGGGTTAATGTGAAGATTAGATAGGTCCTAACTGTAAAGCACTGAGACTACTGCCTGTCTCCTCATACTCAAGTACTGACTAATGGTTAGGTACTCTTATTATTATTACACAAGTCTCATCATAAAGACCTATGAACTCCTCTGACTTGCGGCCTTACCCATTCCATCATTTCACTTATACATGAAATACCTCTCTCTAGTTGAAATGTTGCATGTTCAGTTTCAACCCAAAGGTAAGACCTGATTTAGAAGTCTGAAAGTGAACAAACCCATGCGACTGCAAAGAGAATGGTAAAGATTCTGACCCCAAAGCCTTTGGAATTCCCACAACATCCTAAGAGGCCTCGGTCCCCATCGGACAGTGGTCATGGCACCCAGAGGACGGTCCGTAAAGGGTCTCACCTCTTGATCATGTTCCTGGTGTACCAGATGCACGGGAAAGACTCCTTCAGAATGGTTTTATAATGCCTGTTCAAGTCCCTTCCAGCCAGCGAACAGCGGTAATTCCCCACAATCACTCCATCTGGATTTAACATGGGAACCACTTTGAAGACAAAGACGTCTCTGAGGAGCGCGGCATCTGGGGAGTTGCTAAGAATGAAGTCCAAAAAGCCTTTCATGACCCAGGAGCCATTACTTTCCCCAGGGTGGACCCTGGCGCTCAAGACCACGGCTTTCTTGGCAGCTGCCTCCTGAGGGGTCCGGGATGGGTTGGTGATGGTGAGCAGGTAGACGGTATTTCCTGCTAGGCTCCGGCATAAAGTTCGGAGTTTGCAGAACTGCGATTGGATGGGGTTGTTTGTCACTGATAGGAGGTAGTACTGCAAATCAGTGTACGTATATGGGTAGAAGTGTGCAAAGAAGCAAGTGTCCTGGTCATGTGGAAACTGGATGGTCCACGTGAGACAGTAAAAGGGCTGCTGCCCGTCACCCGTCTGGTTCTTGTAATACTTGATTTCTTTTCCTTCTCTCCTCCAGCCAAGGCTGTGGGTGTTGGCATCCAACTGGGAGTACATGAGTGGCTTCATCCCTAAAGTATAGAGGCTCTTGGGTTTCAGCAGGTTGACAATGGTGAAGCGATAGGTGGCATCTTTCCTGGTGTTCTGAACTCGAAAATAAAACCACTGAGTGTGTCTGTTTGTGTAGAGGTCAGTTCGCAAGGTGAGTTCATACTCATAGGTGTCTCTGTAATGGAGAAAATAGAAGAGTATTTCTGTAAACCCACGTCCCCTGCAAAAAAACAAATCTGGGAAAATACTGTCAAAACAGATCTTATTTCAACAGAGAGCCTGCTACATCCAACATTTATTTTCTAATTTACCTAGTTCTCTAACTCGCCTATTAGGCTAACAGGAAGTTGGGGAAAGAGAGTTTATTTGGGGTGGGACAGGAAGAGTCTCAAAATTTGCACTGTCTCCTACACAGGATGTCTGGGAGTGCTGGGAGCTTTTCGGTGTCTTTCTAGATTAGAGTGCCTGCTGGCAGCTTTAACCACGTCAATACCCTGCTCTGAAACACAATGAACAGTGGTCAAGCTGGAGCCCTCTGTTGGCTGCTGGCCGTATACTGGGCACCACCAGTATGGAGGCCCTTACGCCTCCTGCACTACTTTTATCTCTGATTGTCAACTGTTTGAGGATGAGGGGGCATCTCTGGAATGCGCACACCTTGTTGAAAAGGAGCAGGACTAACTCGCAGAAGAGGAAATACAAATGCCCAAAACATGAAAGCAAATGCACTCACGTGCATCAATAAAGAAATGCAAATTAAAATAAGATGTCATTTTATCCTCCGTCTCATCAACAGTCCAATGCTGGGCACTGGGCACTCTCATGCACTGTTGATAAGAACTGGAATCTCGCTGGACGTCCATGTGGCAAAAACTAGCTGTACTTAATGTGCACACGCTTTGACCCAACAGTTTTATTTCTAGAATTCATCCCATAAACCCATAAATACTTAAAAAGGTAAATGCATAAGGGTTTTAATTCTGTTAATTTGTTAAGCCAAAAATTGTAAACATCTTAATTTCCCATCAGTTGAGGACAGGATAAATAAGGCATGGAATAGCTATATAATAGAATAATAAGAACTATTAAAAATAAGGAGATGTGACTGTAATATTGCCATTGAAAAACACCTAAAATTTATTAGGTGGAAAAAGCAATTTGCAAATGGTATGTATACCATTATCCTAGTTTTGAAAACACATAACTTATACATTACAAATACGCAGAGAGAGAAAAAAATAATGCATATCCATCGAACTCTTTTTTTTTTTCTCCATCAAACTCTTAACAGCAGCTGCATCTGGAAAGTATGAGTATAGGACTCAAATTTTTGTTATGTATTTTCATTAACACATATTTTAAATGAGCCCTAATTTCTTTTACAAGCAGAAAAAACCATTCCCATTTTTATTCTGGGGGAAAATATGAGCCACAATGATTCTTTTCTTCCTCATCATCCTCAGAACCATTTCCCATCACCTCTCTCTTTTTCAAAAACAATCCTGGTCTCCTAATATGATTCCTGAAGACACGTCTCGGTCACTTCAATCATCACCCCTTTAGGAAAATCCGCTTGTTACTCACACTCTGACAGCCTTTTGCAGGTTCCCACTCTCAAACCGTGATTCAAACAGTAGAGTGTTATCGTCTGGACCTTGCAATGTGACAGCCAGTTCCTTGATGACTCCCCGTTTGCCCCCCACTCTGGAGCTGCTGAAATAGGAACCTTCGGTGGGCACTGCAGATGACAGACAGATTAAGGCCACATTCCTCTCAGAATCCATTTGTCCAGCAAACATGCACTGAGCCCCTCTATGTGTTCAGCACTATCCTTGGCTAACAATTGTCCTTGCTGAGAGTTTGAATTTTAAACAGTGTATTTATTTCTTGAAGGCCTGTGTTTTAGAGCACTTCCTTTTCCTGCATGACTATCCCTGGCATCTCGGATACTGCTTGGTACCCATTTAAACCCTAATGTTGTACCTATTTAAACCCTAATGTAAAAGAATGTTGGCAAAAAATAACATTCTAAATGAAGCATCTGAAAATATTTGCAATCTTATTTTTTAAAAAACAACATCAACACAACAAATAGCACCTGTTAATTTTTAAAGACTAAAGGGGAAAACAAAAAAGAAAACAAAGTATACTCCATGTAATTTTTTGGTACAGCCTTCCAGATTTAAATGTAACAAAAATAGGGGCCGGCTGAGTGGCTCCATTAGCTTAAGAGCGCAAGAGCGCAAGCTCTGAGCAACAGGGCTGCCGGTTCAATTCCCACATGGGCCAGTGACACTGTGCCCGAGCTGCCAATAGGTGGCAAGGTGGCTCAGCTGGTGAGAGCACGTGCTTGTAACAACAAGACGGCCTGTTCCATGGTGGGCTATGCCCACCCACAAGTTAAGACTGAACTCAGCACTTTGAGCTGAGCTGCTGCCTGGATGGCTCAGTGGATAGAGCATGTGCTCTTAACAAGGCTGCTGGTTCAACTCCTGCATGGTATAGTGGCTACGCCCACCTGCAACTAAGATTGTAACACAGGACCTTGAGCTTAGAGGCCACGAGCTGCGACAGGCAGCCAGATGGCGACTGGCGCCCTCCACAACTAAGATTGAAGAACAACAACTTGGCTGGTCCCCTTCCCCAATTCCCCAGCACTGTTCCCCTTCCCCAATTCCCCAACTTAAAAAAAAAAAGTAACAAAAATAGAAGTTTGAGGGGTGACTGGTTAGCTCAGTTGGTTAGAACATGGTGCTGATAACACCTAGGTTGCCGGTTCGATCTCCGCATGGGGGCTACTGTGAGCTGCGCCTTCCCTAGAAGAATCAACTATGCCATTGTAGCATGAAAGCAATGCGTAACCAATGACCATGGCTGTTCCCCAATAAAGTTAAAAAAAATTAATTGAAAAAAAATAGAAGTTTGAGAATAACTGGCATGGGTTAATTTCCTTAAGAGGGGAACAACCATATCACAGTAATTAGTAAAAAATTAAAGGTTATACTTGAAATTTTATCTTTAAAATGAGGCTTCAACAAAAATGATGAAATTTATCTAACAAAATTTAGATTATAATCATTACCTCTTTCTAACCCTTAAAATAATAATCAATTGTTAATTTTTGTGTGTGTGTGTGGGGATGCAATTTTTCAGACAAATTCAGTGAGAGTGCCGTATGACATTTTTTATTTTTGCAGTTACTTTTGCAAAACTCTTTTAGGGCTTCCTAGTTTTCCTAAGGACTTCTCTTTGTACCACAATATTCTCATCATTGTACCCTGAAGAACCTATTTTCTCATCTTTTGTTGATTTTTCTCTTTGTTAACTGATAAAACAGTTCTAGCTTCTCCTCTGTCAGTGGCTTTGCTAGGGATTCAGGCAATTCTTCAACATTCATCAACTTCAAAAAATCAAGCATCTCTTCTTAAGGATCATAATCTCACTTTGCAATTTATTTTTACTTTATTTGCATTATATTATCAGATTTTAACAGTATCTACCAATCAGCAAGTAACAGATATCAATAAAGATGCTGACCACGGGACAGGATAGATACTAACATTAAATAGTAATATGTGTGGGGCCTTATTATCTAAGTCTTAGTCAGCAAAGGAGAAAGCAAGCACGTAAAGAACTGCGTGAAAAATAAACAAAAAAAGAAGTGAGTGAACAAAAACAAGCACAGAGGAAGTAGAAACAGAAGCAACAGCAAGAGTGCATGTGATCCAGTTAAAAGCTGGGGACCCACATGGTTCAGTCTCTTCATGGAACCTCAATCTGAGAACAGACCAGTGACCAGATGTCATTAATACAGACATTTCAGTATTTTCTTGAGTCTCTCAGGTAAAATTAAAGATGATCCAATTCACAGCCCATCGTAACATTTCTCAAAAAACAAAGCCAATTTGATCCCCGCCCTGCCCAAATATTCTCAAACTGACCAACTCCCCGATTCTGTCTGGAAGCCCATCTTTTCAGTTTTCTCTTTCTTTATTCCTTCAATAGATGGGCTCAGCTTTCCTTGATGAATCCAAAGGACAAGATCAAGGCGGCTGCCGCTGCTGTGTGTTAACAGGACAAGGACAATTCATAAAAAGCTGCTGCATCAGGAGAATGAGCTCTCAGCCCCAGGGTTTCCTCTTGGGGAAGATATACAGAAATAAGTGCCAATAGACCAGAAGAAGCCATGTGGATTCATGCTCATCTGGTTTATTGAAGATGACTACAACCAGGTAAAACACGCTTATGACCCCAGGGATTTCTTGAGGTTGTAGCAACAGTACATTCCCTATCATTTACAACCCACGTCTATCTATCCATTTATGGTCTCATACTTGAATAATGCTTCCCAAACTCCTCCTCAGGCATTCCACAAGGTGGAGGTAGAGAGGCTGTGAGTTGCTGCACTTTATCTACTTCATTGCATACAGCTTTCCCCACCATAATATTATTATTAACATGAGGCTAGCTCATGATCAAGGCAACTGGGAGTGGGGTGTGTATACTTGTATCTCTGGAATAACTGGCTCATTTTATTCATCTAGTTGTAGGAATGTGAACATACTGTTGTCCCTCCCTCCTATTTCTGGTTGTTTCTCCCAAAACCTCCCTTATTTCACAAATTTAACCCATTCTATTTCTACTAACTAAACAGTATATATTTCTCTTCCAACAAAATAGATTTCCTTTCCGATAATTATTATCTACAAGAGACTGTTTTTCAAATTATAAGAATTACTTTTCTTGTTTTCCATTTCTTGAATACAGCATTTCCCAATGGCAGAGAACTCATTAAAAAGTTCTAATGAGCTCAGGCACACACCTGTGTGTGCAAGAACATCAGATGATTTTTGGTGATAAAGGATGCCCTTGTTGGCAGCTTCCTTACCTTCCCATGTCCCTCCCTGTTACTAACTTGGTATCCTGACATTAATTCAAAATTTACTTCCCTTTCCTTGGGAAGGTTTACATTACGTTTCTCGGCTCACTGCTCAATATTACCTTTCCTTTCTGTCTTAAATGTTAGTATTACCACCTGCTCCACATCCTCTCCAGCACTTCCTATTGTCTATATTTTTATTATAGCTATTTTGGTGGGTGTGAAGTAGATCCATTCTTTCCATAAATACACTTTATCAAGTTGAGGAAATTCTCTTCAATCCCTAGTTTTCTGAATATTCTTTAAATGAAAGGCTGGAGTTTGTCAAATGCTTTCTCTAAACCAAGATGATTGTGTTTTTCCCCTTGTTCTATTAATGTGGTGTGTTACACTGATTTCCTTACATTAAACCACCATTGCACTCCTGGGACAAATCCCCCTTGGTCATGGTGTATAATCTTTTTAATATGTGGTTGGATTTGGTTTGCTAGTATTTTGTTGAAAATGTTTGCATTTATATTCACGAGGTATATTGGAAGAAAGCGACATTATCTTGTGATGTCTTTGTCTGGCTTTGGGATCAGGGCAATGCTGGCTTCACAAAAAAGAATTGGGAAACATGTCTTCCTTCTCCTCTGTTTTCAGAGTTTATGAATTAGTACTATTTCATCTTTAAATGCTTGATACAATTCAAACAAACCCTGTCAAGCTATCTGGGCCAGGGATTTCTTTGCGGAAACATTTTTAATTACTAATTCAATTTCTTTGTTATAAGCTATTCAGACTTTTAATTTCTTCCTGAATCAGTTTTGGTAATTTGTGTCTTTCTAGAAATTGTTCCTGTTTATCTACGTTGTC